ACCGCTAAGGCCTTGGGGGAGGAAGAAAGTAGGCCGAGGGCTGAGCCTGCCAAGGAGACTGAAGACCTGATACTCGATCCGGCCAAGCCGGAGAGAGTCCTGAAGATTGGAGCCAAGCTCCCCGAAGACTTGAAGGCTGGCATCACCATAGCCCTCCGCGCATACTCCATTGTTTTTGCATGGGGGCCGGAGGACATGCCGGGAATTGACCGGAGGGTCATCACCCACCGCCTTGCGGTGGACCCTTCGGCCAAACCAGTGCAACAGCGAAGAAGACCCCTCTCGGCCGAGAGAAGGGAGTTCGTAAAGAAAGAGGTGTCTATGCTCCTCTCCATCAAACACATTAAGGAGGTGAAATACCCTTCCTGGTTGGCTAACGTAGTCCTCGCACAGAAGCCTCCTACCTTCCGCATGTGCGTGGACTACACTGATCTGAATAAGGCATGCCCTATGGACCCCTTTCCTCTGCCAAACATTGATCAATTAGTGGATGAGACCGCGGGATGCGAGATTATGTCATTCCTCGACGCATTCCGCGGATATCATCAAATCTACATGCATGAGGAAGACGCTGAAAAAACAGCCTTCATGACACCCGAAGGCATCTTCTGCTATCTTGTGATGGCCTTCGGCCTCAAAAATTCAGGCGCCACCTACACGCGCATGGTGGCTAGGGTTTTTCAAGCTGTCCTAGGACGCACCATGGAGGCTTACGTTGACGACATGATCGTCAAAAGCAAGAAGGCAGGCACTCACGCCGACGACCTCCGGGAAATCTTCGCCATCATGCAAAAATTCAACCTCCGGCTAAATCCAAAGAAATGCACCTTCGGCGTGCAAGGGGGGAAGTTCTTGGGCTACATGGTCAGCCGAAGGGGTATTGAGGCCAACCCCGAGAAGATCCAAGCCATCATCGACATGGAGCCTCCACACAACGTCAAAGAAGTTCAACGGTTGACGGGTCGCCTGGCAGCCCTCAACCGCTTCCTCTCAAAGTCAGCCGAGAGGGCTCTCCCCTTCTTCCAAATCATGAGGAAGACGGCGGGTTTCCAATGGACATCTGAGTGTCAAGAAACCTTCGACGAACTCAAGAAGTACCTCTCTTCTCCCCCGGTGCTCTCCAAACCAAAGGTGGGGGAGACTTTATACTTATATCTCGGTGTTAGCCCTGCGGCTATCAGCTCGGTACTAATCTGAGAAGAGGACGGCATCCAACATGCCATCTTCTACGTCAGCAAAACCCTCCGGGAGGCCGAACTCAGGTATTCTCCCGTCGAGAAGACGGTGCTAGCCATCGTTTGGACCGTCAAGAAACTTGGCCACTACTTTCAAGCTCATCCAGTCCAAGTGCTCACTCACCAACCCCTCGGCGCCCTCATGAGGAGTCCCACTAGCTCCTCCCGGATGGTAAAATGGGCCATCTTCCTCAGCCAATACAACATAGACATCCGTCCGAGGCCTGCCATTAAGGGCCAAGCCCTGGCGGACTTCGTAACGGAATGCACCGCAAGATCAGCAACTGACGAGGAGCCCTCGGCACCCCTCGATGAGTGGTGGACCCTCTACACCGATGGCTCCTCGGCCACCAAAGCATGCGGAGGGGGAGTAGTTCTGATCACACCCGAAGGCTTCCGCGCCTATTATGCCATCCGCTTCTCCTTCAAGGTCTCCAACAACGAGGCCGAGTACGAAGCCCTCCTATGTGGCCTTCGGCTGGCAGCAAATCTGAAGGCCAAGATGATCCACGTCAAGTGTGACTCCAAGCTTGTCGTGGGGCAAATTTCCGGGGAGTACGAGGCCAAGGAAGGAAGGATGAAGCAATACAAGGAGGCTGCCAAGGAGTTGCTTAAGGTATTTGAGGCACATTCCCTCACCCAAATACCGAGGGCTCAAAACTCTGAGGCCGACATTCTGTCCAAGCTCTCGGATGAATCCCCCGAGCACCTCTCAAAAATTGCAAGAATCGAGGAGCTCAGCCTCTCAAGCATCCACGCAAGCCCCATTATGAATATTAACCTAAGGCCGGAGGATTGGATCTCCGACATCATCACCTTCATCACCACAGGGCAATTGCCCCAAGACGAAGCCCGCGCCAAGTTAGCAAAGCTGAGGGCTCCCAGTTACGTCATCGAAAACGGGAGGCTTTACAAGAGGTCCTACAACGGCACCCTCCTTCGGTGCCTTCATCAAGATGAGGCCGAAGTCGCCATGGAGGAAGTGCACAGTGGCACTTGCTCAGCTCACCAGGGACCCTTCTCCATGTCCCGAAGGCTCATAGTTCAGGGCTACTTCTGCCCCACGATGGCTAGAGATTGTGCTGATCTAGCCCGAAGGTGCACCGCTTGCCAACACTTTCAGAAAGCCCCCGGTAGACCAGCGGTCAACTATGCTCCCATCAGCACCGCTATACCCTTCTCCAGATGGGGGATTGATTTAGTGGGCCCTCTGCCGAGGGGTACCTCCAACAACAGGTACATCATTGTGGCCATTGACTACTTCACCAAATGGGTAGAGGCCGAACCCCTCGCCAGTATCACGGAGGCCCGGTGCCGTCACTTCGTCCTCAAGAACATTCTCACAAGGTTTGGCGTCCCCCAACAAATCATCTCCGACAACGGGACTCAATTCGAGGCAGCCCCCTTCTGTGCCCTCCTTGAGGCTTGGGGTATCAAGCACACATTCTCTTCCGTTGCCTACCCTCAGGGCAACGGGCAAGTGGAGAACGCCAACCGAACCCTACTTGAAGGATTGAAGAAAAAGTTGGAAGCCGAAGGGGGAGGCTGGGTAGAAGAGCTTCATAACATCTTATGGGCCTACCGCACCACCCCTCGGCGCGCAACAGGCGAGACCCCTTTCTCCCTGTGCTATGGATTTGAGGCTAAGGCTCCAACAGAAGTGACCCTTCCGACCCGAAGGGTTGAACAATATGAGCCCGAGGTCAACGACGCCAACATGGCCCTCGACCTTCATCTCATCTCGGAACGCCGAGAGCAAGCTTTCCTTAGGGCCGAAAACTATAAGAGACAAGTCAAAGGATACATCGACGCCAAGGTCCGCTCCCGGGAATTCCAGGTGGGAGACTACGTCCTCCGGCGAAGGGAGGCCAGTCTACCCACCGAAGGAGGAAAGATGGCACCCAAGTTTGAGGGCCCCTACATCATCTCAGCCATCATCAAACCGGGGACATACAAGTTAAAACGTCCTAATGGAACAGAGATTCCTAGACATTGGAATGTGCACCACCTAGTGAAGTTTTACCAATGAGTGGCCAAGCCCTCATCCTCAACAAGTGTAAACGATCAATGGCCCAAGGCCCCGTCTGTTTTTGAAGAATAATCAAAAGGCCAAGCCTTCATCACCTACATATTGTACAAACGGCCCAAGGCCCCCTTTCTCCCTTACACATGAGTGGCCAAGCCCTCATCTCTCCACCTGAAAAGGCCCAAGGCCTCTCCCTCTGATGAGGGGGAACAACAATTCAGGTACCAAGTACCAAGTGTATGGGTCACCCCCATCACTCTTTGAAAACACCAAGTGTTTTCTCACTAAGCCGTACCCCACGAGGACGCACTCATGCATACATTATGCGTGCTTGTACATACTCTATCCTCCTAAAAAAAAACGGGGGGTACAACACCCCTCGGCTCCGGCTGGTACCAAGTGCCCCGGCTATTTGTGTCCCACACACAAATAGAAACCCTTCCCAGGAACGCTTTCCGCGCCATCCCCTAAGGGGAGGCAGGCAACGGACCATGTCCCGGGCCCAGGATTCGACTTCCACAAACGAAACGCTCCCCGCGCTATCCCCCAAGGGGAAGCAGGCAACAGACCATGTCTCGGGCTGAGGGGACGACTTTCAAAACCGAGGCGCTTTCCGTGCTATCTCCCAAGGGGAAGCAGGCAACAGACGATGTCTCGGGCCGAGGAAACGACCCTCAAACCCTTCGGGATATCGGAAGGTCATTCCCGAAGGGGGAGCCAACGGTTCACTCCGTTGCCTCCCATATAGGCCAAGCCTTTCCTAGAAACCAAGTTCCTAGATGCCTCTCCTACACCATCCCAAAAAAAAAAAAAAAAAAAAAAAGAAAGGTGTGTAGGGGGGAAGGAACTCCCCGGATACTACTCTCCCCGGAGGCTCAACACTTTGGACATATATTCCCGAAGGATCCTACAAAGGCACAAGAAAATCTCCCAACATCAAGTCATCTGGATACATAGCCGAAGGCTTCACTGCGTAAAACCTTGGAGTACAAGATTTCCACCGGAAGCCCAAGAAGAAGAGCAAAACTTCACCTAGATTTGGCTAAAGCCGAAATTCGGTTGGATCAAAGTCAACTATATGACATGCCGAAGGCTACACAAAATTCTAAGGCAGGCTAAACCTATATCTACGCAAACCGAAGGATTCATGCCGAAGGCAGAATATCACCCAACTCATTCAACAATGAGAAATTCCCAAATAAAGGGATTGGCACCCCTCGGAAAACATTCACCAAACCGGGAGCCACTCACAAGATCTGTTGGAGAAAGTCTCAGAATATTACCAGGTCCATAATTTTGAACCTTTCGGCGAGGCTATACACACCGAAGGCTCATGCAGCATCTCACGCTCGAAGGTTCCCTGCAGCGTCTATTGAAACTTCGTGAAAAAATTTCTAAGCCCACAGAGGGGAACCCTTCGGGGGGCTACACTCTTAATCAAAGGCTCAGAATTTCCGGGGGCCCAAGATGCAAGTTCACTTGGAAAATTTCCTGAGCCTAATTTATTTTGGCCCTCGGTCCTCCTGTTACAACCCGGAGGCAACGCAAGGAAACATTGCCAAAGGTTTCCAATGGGGTATTAGATTATTTTCTAAGATTTTACGCTACATCTGAAGGGTCCACAACTACAAGCCCCCGGTGGCTCCACACCTGACCGAAGGCTTGTCGCTGAGTTGCACTTAGAAAATATTTCTATGTCCACAAACTTGTGGCCTTCGGGAAACCAGGCAAGGGAAAGGAGAACATACATTCATTCATACACAAACGCGAAGAGAAACAGGGGCATACATTCAAGTTCAAAATGAAGGAAGCATTCATTCACAAAGCCCGAAGGCGATCATTCATTCATCCAAGAAAAAATATTTAAAGTACAAAAATGTATTTCATTACAAAGACATGGCAGGAGCCGAGGCCTAGTGCTATTACAGAAGTTATACTTAGGAAAATTCAGGCTTGGGTTTCTTCAGCTCCATCCTCTTTCGGCTTCGAGGAGGCGTCATCCGCGGCTCCTTCTTCATCGTCCGAAGCCAGCCTATCCAGCTCAGAGTCCTCCAAAAGCTGCCTTTCTTCACCTTCGGGCAAGGGAACTCGAACGTCCGGCAGGAGAGGGGGGAGACCGTGAGCAGCCGGGTCAAATTCTTTGGGATCCACTCCGTGGTGCCGGGCAAGCCTCCGATACAGCATAACCTGTGTGAAGTACTGGCCCCCCTCATAAAAGCTTTTGCCCTTCAGAGCAAGCCACATGGCCCCGGGGCCTTTGACCCAATCATCCACCGAAGTCTCCACGACCGAAGCCAGCCACGGTTTTTGCTCTTCAGATTTCCACCCCTCGGCAACATAAGAGGCAACGGCATCCTCGGCGGCTTTAGCAACGGCTTCGGCCTTGGCCCTGTCGGCTTCCTCGGCGGCTGCTATGGCGGCCTCAGCGGCAGCCTTCTCTGCCTCAGCCTTCCCCTTGGCGATGCCCTCGGCCCTCGCCTCATTCTTGGCCCCCTCCAGCTTCTGCTCGGCCTGCCGAAGGGCCTCTTCCAATACAGTGAGCTGCCTGATGGCCTCGGTATTATTGGCAATGAGCTTCCTCGTCACCTCGTCAGACTTCGCCTTCTCGAGGCGGTGCTGTTCCGCCCTGCGGACAAGTTCCCCGAAGGCCAAGCTAGCCTGCAAGCAAACAGGGGTACACCTGGGATCAGAATATGCAAAGGAAAAGGAACACAATAACAGAAGATTCCGAAGGTCGAAATACTTACAGTGGCCGAGGCCTGAAGGGCCTTGAGCTCGAGGGCTTCGTCCCCGAACCGGCTAAGGGTGGACCGATCCACCGAAGGGGTGGCACCTCTCAAGAACTCCCTCGGGTCGAGGGTGCCATGCATGATGGTTGTCCCCTTCTTGATGGGGAAGTGTACTGTTTCAAGGGGCCAGGCACCCTCGACAAGATCCTCCAGGGGAGCAGTGGCAGACGATTGGCCGGCTGGGGGGTCATCAATGATCACCACGGGGGTATCCTTCGGCTCAACGTCCCCCTTCAATTTTTTCCCTTCCGGAGGCCTGACGCCCTTCCCGGCGTTTTTCCGCTTGAGCTCCCCCTCCTTGGAGCCTCCGGCATCAGAACCGGCGCCAGCGATTGCAACCCCCTTTGGGGGCCCTTGACCCTCAGGGGTCTCTTGCTTCTTGGAGAGGGCGTCTCCCTGCGGCTGTGCCGGAGGCCTCTCTTCCTTCTTCTTCTTGTCCTTGGCCAATTGCCGGGACAGCTTGGAGAATGCCTTCGGGTCCATAAAATCGCCTGCAAAAGAACATCAAGGAAGAAGTTAGAATCAAAAGCAAATCAAGGACTTACATCTCTAAGTACTAACAGTAATGGCCCTCGGCAACAACCTCTAACACCCGGAGAGCCCCGGTCAAGGAGAGGATATCTCTCGTCTTTCTCCCCTGGCAGGCGATACCGCCGGAATTCTAGCTTAAACAGCTCTTCCGGGAGCGTGGCGGCCTTGATTGTTGTCAGCTTCTCTGAACCCGGAAGCTTCGCCTTCAGCTTTTTCCCATCGCTCTCAAGGGCGGCGTTGCCTACCTTGGGGTGCCTCCGGAAATGATTGCGGAGAGGCCTCGGGAAATCAGCTCCCAGCATCCTCAGGTAGCAGAATCGATCCTTCCATCCCTTATGGGACGAGGGTACCTCTGAAAACAGCCTCCATGCCGGCAGCTGTTGAAGGTTGGCAAAGCCTTCGCTGTTTGCGGCCCCCCCTCGGCAAAGGTTGAAGGACAGGAAAAACTGGTCAAGAGAAGGTTCCACCCCCCGGGAATCACACAGAGAGAGGAACCCCGCCAAGTATGAATGGCTGTTGGGAGTTAATTGACAGGGAGCGAGGCCTACGAACCGGAGGTATTGCACGACGAAGGGGTGCAAGGGGAAGCGGAGGCCCAACTCCACCGAGAGGATATGCACAGCAAAGCAGCCTTCGGGGGGAGATAACAGTACGTCGTCAGGACCTGGCACCACCACCTGTGCCGACGGGCCCACTAAGAGCTGAGTCTTGAGATACTCCGCCTCCATAGCCTTCGTCTTCAAATCTAGCGCGGCTGTGTTGAGGTAGGAATGTCCTTCAGGAATTCCCACCGGCTGTCCTGCATCTACCGCAGCCTGTTTCTTCTTCTGGGCAGCCTTCTGCTTCTTTCCCTTCTTTCCCGAAGCTACCCGGAGGGGCACTGCGTCAATTGGCCGGGAGCTACTCGTTTCACCGGCGCCTCGCGAAGGCAAAAAAGCAACCGTGACACGTTGCCTCTCCTTCTCCTCCTCTTCCTCAGCCACCTGAAGCGCGAGGGCCATCTCCTCGTCCTCAGCAACCTGTTCGAAGTCTTCGGCTTCGACCTCAGCATGAAGGTTGCTTTGTACCTCTCTCGCCACCTCAGAATCATTGTTGGACGAAGCCTCGCTCGATGACTCCATACCCAAGTAGCTCTCAGATTGGGCGGGGGCTTCCTCCGAGATGTTTTGGGAGTCGCTTGCCGAGGACATCTTTCCGCAGAATAAGGAGGAAGATTGGAAAAGAATACTAACTGGGGGGAACTAAAACGCTAAATCTAAGGCCGAAGTAGCTAAGTATGCCGAAGAAACGAAGAACTGAGGAAGAACTGACCTTAGAAATAGGGTTTGATCGAAGCAAGGACTTTCTCTCTCTAGAAATTTTGGCAGAGCTTCGCTTCAATTCTAAAACGCGCAGCGGAAATGAGCTCAGACTTGGAGTATATATAGGCTTTCAGCCTTGAGAACTGGGCCTGGATTTGAAAAGGCCATCATTACGGGCCGCCGGTTCAGCCAATGGATGGAAGCCGCCCCCCATCTGCCAACGACAAAGCGCCACGTGGAACCCTCTTCCAACGGCTATATTACAACGACTATATTTCGGCAACACTGGAGTGCCCTCGAATGATAGCCTCCGGCTATCACCCGCCACATCCTTCGAACAACGAATTCCACCAAACGCCTTCGAGCCTGCGGCAGCGTAAGCCCCCGGCATGACAACATTGTCACCCCTCGGGGAACCCAGCAACACATTATAACTCCTTCAGCCCGAACTCGCCTTCGGCCTAAAGGAGTGGGGGACTGGGACACACCCCTCGGGGATCATACACAACAAAAATTTCTTCATGCAACAATTTACAATTGACGCATACGGCCTCCGGGCAAACATCACAGTACAACCCCTCGGGTACATACTTCAACATACCCTTCGGCAATCAGCAGAAGACAAGTTCTCCAGCAAAAGCACCCAGCGAAATGATGAAGCCTCCAGAAGAAGCAACACATCTACTCCTTTCCCCTCAAGTACCTTTCGGCAAAAGGAGTGAGGGACTCCTGATGGAGTATATGGCCCAGGAACCCCCGGCCCATAGACTCCTATTTCTCCCACACAAGTCCATTGAGCTCAGGAAACAACTCAGGCCCAAATACAACGGCCCAAGCCTCAAAGTAGCCCAGAATACACACTGGGGTGCCTTCGGCCTCCTTGGCCGAAGGCTCCAAAACTCGCAGGATAGCCTTCTCTGGCATAAGAAGCTACTGGGAGAAAACGGGCGAAAACATGAGCCTTCGGCATTCTCATGCCCTCGGCACCAGCGGAGGCCTTCGGCTGAACCAAGCCCTCGGCTACACAAGGAGCCCTCGGCTACACAAGGAGCCCTCGGCTACACAAGGAGCCCTCGGCTACACAAGAAGCCTTCGGCTGAACAAAGATCAATCATCGAAGATTCCTTTTAGAGACAGCCAACCACCGCATTTAATGCCACGTCACATCCGCCAACCGCAATCAATGCGGTGGACGTACCACTGCTGGTGCCAACCGGCTGATGTGACCCTTCGGCCGTTGGATTACTGACACGTGTCCTCTCATCGCATTTATTGCTGCTATAAATAGCAGCCCATTTCTCCTTGTAAATCATAATCCACATCTCAACTACACACGCTGAGTTCATTTAATAAATCGACTCTCTCTCCTCCTATTTGCTCTGACTTCTCTCTAAGCTATTCCCGCGATAACCCCTCGGATAAGATACCCCCCGGGTAGACTATCCATCACATATATTGCTCAATAGGCCTAGATACTTATATTTGATATTTTATTGTTTCATACAGAGTATAATTTTGTGTTATCAGTGATGGAACCAAAACTTTATTTCAAAGGGTCCCGAGAAGTTTATGAAGATAACTTTTTGTTTTACACGCTGATTTACACATTTTGTACACTCCCCTAGTTATTTGTGTATAGCTGTCACTTCGTAAAAAAAATCAGAATTTTATTTTATAAAAAACGTACGGAATTGTCTAAGTGGCGTGTAAAATTGGCATGCAAATGTCATACATGTACTCGAAGCACAACTGATATATGAAACCTCAAAATTGTCACCAATTGATAAAAATATTAGAAAATAAAGACATGATTATCTAAGTTTGAAGTGTTAGAAAACTTAATGTTTACATCTAGGTATCAAACTAACTACTCTCATAAATAAATCCAACACGGGGTTGTTTTTCCCTTTTATTCTCTTCACTAAAAGTGTTTGACGACTCTTCAATTCGTATTAGGAATTTTAACATATTTAATATAACAAATTATACAAAAATAAATTCATATAAAAATCGCATAACGTAAATTTATATTTAAGCACTAGTAAATAAATACTTGTATTTTTTAAATATTTTTTTTACTCTAGGGGGCGTCTGGGGGAGGTGGTCCAGGGGAGCCGGGAGTAAACTGGGCTGAAACTCACTCCATTGAGTTTCGAACCCGAGACCTCCCATAAGGGAGAGTGAGTTGGCGAACCTAATTCAAAACTATAAATAATGTTTCATTAAACCCTCGATCCCCCAATGTAACACCCCCAATTTCCACACCCAATTACAATAAACACACACATCCTTTTATTGATAATAAAACATCGAGTTCGGCGGAAGACTTTCAAAAGGAAATTGGATGCATTACCGCCACACTTAGCTTTACATCACTAAGCGATAAGGCTATCACCACATTATTTGAAAATACAATATTGTATATCCTTATTTTCTAAACATAATATCTAAACACTACAAAGCTCTCCGACTATAGCTTCAATCAGCAACAATAAAATATATCCTTATTCCACACAGTCATCTGTTTTGAAAACAGGAAAAAAAAGAAAATATAGAGAAATAAAATTAGCTTGAAAGCAAAGTAAATCCAACTCAACCCCGTAAAATATTAGGATTTTGAAAAATAGTTTTCCTGTAGAGAAAATCATAGAGTTTAATACATAGCTGATATACATTGAAAATATTATTTCACTTAGAAATCATGTCAGTGTTCAACAATCCAATCCTGTAATATTTTTTTAACACATGGGCGGGATTAAGGATTCCTCTAACCCAACGAGTTGTCATCAATTGTGAACCTCAAACGGAATACTGAATCTCATCCAAACTCAATGTTGGGTTAATGGCCCAATCAAGAGATCGGTCCATTACCCCATCTAATGACGAACGTCTAGGCCCAACAAAGGACTGGGTGCCAGACAAGCGTCGCCATGGCATCAAGGCTCGCCAAGGGAAATTATCCATCACAACCTAAGGCAGTACCGACGAACATCCCAACTTGGGTGTTCAGACTCAGAGGTCCTAGCCCCAGTATTAACCAGTATACTCCTACATCAACAGCCATAAGACGTACGATTCTCCACCCTTGGTAGCACCATCTAGGAAAGGCCCAAGGTTCGCCGGGACGCTCGTCTCCAGACATTGGGCGGGACACCAAGATTCTGGTGGGAAGTGCATCTAGTGCTGGAGATTTGGTGGTTGAGACC